GAAGCAAACGACACAGAGCCCGTACAGGCACCATCCGAATGACCCGGAACGGGAACAGGACCGGAAATGGAGTTGAAGTTCAGCGAACCGCCAGTTGCGGATGGACGGCTAGGGTTCAGAACGGATGAGAGACTAGGGCACAGACCTCGCAAGAACACTAGATTGCACACTACCGTGTTGTATTGATCATCCTCGTAGAAAGCCTGTTGGGAGAAAGGGGGAGACGGGGCAAGATTGCTTCAATCAGGAATTAGTCAGATTAACAGAGCGAGTGAACTCCTTACAAAATATGACTGGGGATAAACAAGTGAACAGAGCATAAGAGGTTTTTAGTAAATTAGAAAAATAATAGATGAAATAGATAAGATTACTGCGTTCACATGATTAGGAACTTCTGAGAGAGCCACATGCAACGAACTGTTTCACATAACATTAATAACTGCCTAAATGATGCGAAAGATCACTGACACTAGTTAACAGAACCAAAAAAATCAAATCAGTCCGGGGACGAAGACTAAGTAGCAGACTGGAGAACGGTGTAAAGTCGGGCGGAAACAACTGTGTTTAGTGCGAATGCATTCACGTAAGGGGAAAAGTGATGACAGTACAAGAGGAGGGCACAGATTTTGTCTAATCCGAATAAACCAAACAGTTATCGTGCGTCGAAATGAAATGAAAGATTGGATACGAAGAGAGAAAGGGAAGAAACATGAATCGCTAACCGGAGAACGTTAGCAATACGCGCTGCGGTTTCGCAGCGCGTTACTTCATAGAGAAAGAGAATACAATTTGCACTCTGAGCCCAGTCCGGAGCAGAGAACGATCTAGTCGTGTAAATCTGCGTGCCGACCACAGAGCTATCCCCCCCCCAGCCCCGCATATGTACCCACGTCATTCAAATACGGAAATGGAACTTATTTCTTGAATATACGTTAGTCCAACATTGCACGGTTCAGAAATATTGATTATGGCGAAGCCTTCCTCTGATTATTATTGCTTGTCACTACGATTTTGATGATATCCGGAGAATAAGTCTACCGCGATCAATAATCGTTACTTTACCGCCTAGTTGCACGCAGTAACACATACCAGTCAAACTAATAAACAAAAATGAGCAAATTTGACAGCTTATTGATTTAATTTCCTGTGGTGAGGGCTTCGACCCCAGTTCAATCATGCCGAGAACTGTGACGAAGCACAGAGGGGGGAGCATGGTGATCAGGCTTGAGAGGTGAATCTTGAAAGGCGAACGGTGATACAGTGAATTTGTTCAGATCGCTGAGAGATTGCTTCCAAATCCATCCCCGGTCAACGTAAGATGAATATAGAATGCGCCTGTTGATTCTTCTCCTCAGAATCATTTTGTGTTCTTTCGACTCATTGCCCACTCTATCGCTTTCTATTCGCCCCGTTGACATTCGTTTCGTTCTGGTTATCGATTTCTTACATAATCAAGTGAGTGCGTAGTTCTCCCAGTCGCTGACACCTCAATGGACATGCAGACGCACACCGATCACTCGTATGACTTCAACCACACAAGTTCTCTTGTGACCTCCATTGTCCCTTACTACTGGTTGACCCATGTTCCGTCTACCCTTGTTCTGTACCGGTTCACGAGACAGTCTTGGTTTTCATTGTATTGGAACCGGGATTTTGCGCGTCACTTGTCGCCAGGTAGACACGGGAAGGCAGTCTATGTATCAGGACAAGCACATAGTATTTAAACGGCTCGACTTGCCACCAAAAGTACGTTTGCCGCAGTTGCTCGAAAAGGTGGAAAGCAACCGGGACCTGGTCTGGACGACGAAGAAAATGCGACGTTATACAGTTCTACGGAATTATGCAAGACCACTGATCCTCTGTATGAACACGATGTTCAGGTGGGAATTCACTGGGAAAATACTGCGGACAGCAAGAGCACGGAGAACACGGGGAGATTGATGTTGGTGCGAATTTTCGGCTCCTTTTGTATTGTGTATATACACTGAGTTCAGTTCAGTTCAGTTCAATTTTTACAACCATTAACCATGCACTTTCGTGCACATGTTTTGGTTGCTTTCTTTTGGTGCTCCATTTGGATAAAAGAGCAGAGTGAAGATTGGAATGTTGAAAGCAAATTCAGGCGGAAGATGGAGAATTCATATAGAGCAGTGATAGGGGAATAATGAATGGACGCACTAGCGCCACTGTTTGCGACACTCAGCCATATCACTCAGTGTCCCTAACCATCGGTGGCCATCATCCCGAGGTCCTCAGCCAGGGAGCCTAACGGAACCTATGTGACCTAGTCTCCTGGTTAGGATTTTCATACCTTCATGCCAGGTCTAAGTTTGACCATCCTTGATCTTTTTCCAACTGCTACCAGTCTTGGCAAACATCGCTCGCCGCGGTAACCTATACATGCCCCAATCAACGTAATCTATGCAGGTCGATCACCTGCTCCAGTGGACGATCGCGAATGCCTAAAACTCTACGCCCAACCTCAGCACTGCTCATCCGGTTACCTCACCAGACTCGTGCAATGCGACGTAGACAGCGGTGTTCGAAAACCGATAATCTATTTTTATCCTGTTCCGGTAATGGCCAAGTATCTGCACCGTAGAGCAGGACTGGCCGAACTGATGCAGCATACACTCTACCCTTTACATACAGCCGGGTGTCGCGACGGCGCCACAAATGTCTCAAGTTGGCGAATGCCAACCGAACCTTTTGAATCCGCGCCGACACTTCATCTATGATGCGTCCGCATGGTGAGATATAGCTGCCCAGATAGCAAAAAATGTGTCTACTTCCCCAGTTAGGGTGAGACTGGGTGCTGGACCAACCCAATCTCGTAGTAGCATTTTACATTCTGAAGATGCAAAACGCATACCGAGCATGGACACATTAGCACTGAAACTATCCAGAAAAGCTTGCAACTTATCTGGATCTTCACTTAAGTAGCACAATGTCGTCTGCATACTCTCGATCAGACAGTTTCCCACGTGGAAGTAAATCGATACCGTTATCCTCTCATGAAAAAGAATCGTGTGGACTGACAATGTAATACTCAGAACGTTGTGCGTTCTCCTGCCATGAACCGAAGTCCTTAAAAGCTTTGCAGAATGTCACTTGTCACTACTGAACTTTTTCATTTTCTGTTCGACTCTACTCTCAACTTTCCTGTCCTCTCGTATTCTTCATCGAAGTGAGCAGCCAAAAGACAGCAACCAAAACCGGCGCACGAAAGTGCACGGTTAATGGTTGTACAGACTGAACTGAACTGAATTTGTCACCGCTGCCGGAACATTGAGAAAGATCACCCGAGGAAAATGCTGTTGGTAACAACCTATTGAATACACTAAATCACTTAGAGTTGAGGATGAAAATAAACTGAGTTGGGTAAATGCACATGTGGTAGATTCTACAAATTAGTGGACAACAGCTTCTCGTGACTTTGAGGGTTCGCTCGCCCCGAAAAAAAGTGTGTAGCAAACAAACACTGAACAATTCATACATACATTCATGAACCAGACGACTTGACTTGCCTGAATCTTGGAGTACACCCATCGAACCTGAAGGGGGAAATGACGCACATGATTGATCAGGTCGTCCACTACGATTCCGATCAACCGGCAATGCCACTCGTGTTCCAGTGTATGGGAATGCACAGACGAGAGGCCAGCAGCTACCGAAGCGCCTAAATTGAGAATCGAGTAAAAGACAGTTGAATTCAAGAAAAACAGAAGGTACTAAAATATCAGCAACCATAAAATCAGCCGACCTCCAACACTACCCATCTCTTCCGCCCGTATTCGGGGAACATGAGTGAATGCTGGAGGCATTGCATGAAACAAAACGGAACAAGATTTTCGTCAATCTTCGCATGCAATGTTCTGTAACAAACACCAGTTGTAAACCCTATGGTAAAAATATCCACAGTTAAGTGACGGGAATTCGTGACCTCAGTTCTGGGACTTGTAATGATGAATCGTATTAGACGTAAATAGGACAGGAGCATTAGCACGCAAGAGCGAAGGTAGTAGTGCAGATTCCAAAAGCCTAGTGGAAGCAACTGACAGAGTCCCGAACCGCTTAGCCGTGTATACGGTGAAACACAAAATTTTTGTTATTCCAGACATCTTCCATTTTTCCGTGTTTAACTGTCTCACCTCCTTTTCATCCTGTTCTGTACTCCAATCCACATATCCCCTTTCATTGTTATTGTAATTATTGTTGTTGCGTTGGTATCATGCTCGTCTACAAGCCGGTGGTAAATATATATATATATATATATATATATATATATTCGACACAATAACCTTGTTTGCATCATCGGGTGACGTTTGGATAGACAGCTCGTTCAGAGCAAATCCACTGAAGAATCAATGCTATGATTCAACGTTTTTTTAAGTGGGTTAGATGCTACTAACTGCAACAAACGTAACTTGATAGTCTTTCTAGAATATTTCATAATAAGTAGTATGTGAATGACTGGACAAAGTCACGTTTGTTTCGGTTAGTAGCATCTAACCCA